CTGCCCACAGGGAGGGATTCAAAATGACAACTTTTTCACAAAAAATTAACTTTTTCAACTTAACTTTTGAAAATGTTACGGAAAGACTGACACTGAAATACATCTTAAATTAAAGCTTATGTAATATACTTTAATTTGAAAAAAAAAAATTTGACCTCTGGACTTGTCTTCATTGTGAAAACGGCTACCGAATGCTATTTTTGTGTGAAAATTTTCGATTTTATAATTGACATTTTTTACTTTAAAGTGCTATAACTTTTTAAAAAATGTATGGATCAATACAATTTTTTCATGAGAAGTAGTATTTATATACATCTTTCATTGGATATACTTGTTTTTTAAATCAGACTATTTCCCTATATATGGGGGGGCTTAAAATATAAAAAATGCATATAGAATGTAGAACTTTTTCAACTTAACTTTTGAAAATGTTCCGGAAGGTCTGACACTTTTATATATATCTTAAATTAAAGCTTATGTAATATCCTTTAATTTGAAAAAAAAAAATTTGACCTCTGGACTTGTCTTCGTGGTGAAAGTTGACATCAAAGTTAATAAAAAATTACGATTTTTGTAAAATAATTTTTTTTTATATTTTTAACTTAATAATGCTCTAACTTTTTCAAAAATGAACGTATCAATATAATTTTTTTTTATATAGATGGTTGATGTCTTTACTTATCATTTGGTATATTTTTTTTGTAAATCTGATACTTAACCTGCCCACAGGGGGGGATTTAAAATGACAACTTTTTCACAAAAAATTAACTTTTTCAACTTAACTTTTGAAAATGTTCCGGAAGGTCTGACACTTTTATATATATCTTAAATTAAAGCTAATGTAATATACTTTAATTTGAAAAAAAAAAATTTGACCTCTGGACTTGTCTTCACGGCGAAAATGGCTACCGAATGCTATTTTCGTGTGAAAATTCTCGATTTTATTATTTATATAATATTTAACTTTATAATGCTATAACTTATTGAAAAATTTATGGATCCACACAATTTTTTTATGAGAAATAATATTTTTTAATAAACCCTTTTTCATTTGACATACTTTATCTTTATCGAGATATTAATAAGGAACCAGCAGATCAAGTAGCTTTTGGAATAAAACACCAATTTTTTTTAAATTAAGCACTATCTAAAGATTTGCATCGAAGCGTTTATTTTTGATAGTGATTTTAATCACTGTCAGATATCATTATACTTGATATAACTATACCACGTGACAACTGTGCCGCGACCCCCCTGTGCTGGGTTTTTTTATATTGAAACCTTAAATATTTTTCTTTTATTTGATTTAATTTTTTTGAAAATCTAAACCTGCCTGCAGGGGGAATTCAAAAAAATAATTTTTACACACAAGTTAAGCTTTTTCAATTTTTGAAAATGTTCCGGAAATATTGATACTTTTATTTAATCTTAAATTAAAGCTTATAGTTCATAAGACATAAGAAGTTAAACTTATTTAAATTTTTTTGTTTTTTAAAAGTTAAAAAAGTAACTTTAAAATGTAAATTAGCTTAAATTGCCAATTCTATTATTTAGCGGAAGTGACTAGCAGTTGCCGAATTGGTAACACTTGTCTTTCACGGATAGGGTTCCAGTTTCGAATCCACCTGTGGCAATTAATATTTTGCATTTTCTAATCATTTAAATTTTATCTCATTATACAAGGTGTATAAAATGTGGTGATAAAGTACTCTCGAGTGATGATGATGTGACAAAAAGGTGTAAAGAGTATTTTGAAAAATTACTGAATGAGGAATGCCTAAAAGAGTCATTAGAGGATATCTCGTTGAATGAGGGACTGGTAGATTTAATTAGTGAGAAAGAGGTATGGGAGGCTATGGAATCAGTGAAAAAGAATTAATTAAGAAATTCCACAAGACTTTAATAAGGCCAACTATGATGTATGGTTCAGAGTGTTGGGCGGTTGATAAGAAAGTAGAGCAGAGAATGAGTGTAGCAGAGATGAGAATGCATAGATGGATGAATGGAGTGACTAAAAAAGATAGAATAAGGAACGAGCATATAAGAGGTAGTATAGGTGTGGTGTTAATCGTGGATAAGATGAGAGAAAATAGACTTAGATGGTTTGGTCATATTATGAGGAGAGAAGAATCAGAAACTATAAGAACAGTTATAGAAATGAATGTTGAAGGAAGAAGAGGTAGTGGAAGACCAAAAAAGAGATGGAGGGATGCTATTGAATGCGATTTGAAGACAGCTGATGTGAGCGTAGATAATGTGGGAGATCGTGTCAAGTGGGAGTTTAGGATAAGGGTGGCTGACCTCAAGTAGTTAGGATTAAGGCGAGGAAGAAGAAGAATAATTTATTTTTATCTCATTTAGATTCATTAACTTCAATAAATATCAAGGATCCCATCACTGTAGTTTCACCTCATGAGAAGAAATTTATTATTCTTGTTAATATTATTTTACTACGTATTTCTTTTTGTGGCTACGATTTATTTTTCCAACCCTCAATTCACCTACTTTTTTCAACGATATGTCAAATGATTACAATATACAAATTGAAGATATTACTCTCAAAAATTGAAAAAAAAATCACTTAATCAAATAAAAAGTACCTTAAACAGCTTTATCCATACAAACAATTAAAATAATTAATTTCTAATATTTTTAATGTATTTATTGTCGAATTAGATTTGATATGATAAAGTATTCAACTGCAAAAGTAAATAATTTAACTTTGTAATTTATTAATTTTTTAACTCTATTTGTGTGTGTTACTAACAGTCTATAATATTCCAAATTTTTTGGTAACATGTTGTTATATAAAACACAAATCTAAAAAAAAAAAATTATTTTTAGTTTCACCTGAATAATCGATAATAATAATCGATTTTTACAATTATAATACGCTTAATTGAGTAGATCTTTTTAAAATCTTTTTTTTTTATTGGTTTTTTTAGTTATAGTAAATTATTAAAATTAATTCAGTTCTGTATATTTCAATTGGAGGATCTTTTTAAACACCAAAAGCTAATTATAAATGATTACTATGATTTATATTTAAATTATCTATTACGATAAAAATGTAAAAAAAATAGAGCTTTTCTGATAAATTTATGTAAATAGTAATTATAAAATTTCCTGACTGCATATTAATCTTAACAATTTCATTTTTTTCTATATAATAATTATAATTTCAAACTTGCAAGTTGAGCTTAAAGTTATGATAATAAATTAATGTTTTTTTATTATAAACATTTACTTTAAAGGACGAAAAAAAGTAGGTTAAAAATTATTACTTTTAAGATACTAAAATCAAAATCAATAATAATTTGAAAACAATTCATTATAAAAATTATGTCATATATAATTTTATATTATATTTTTGAATCTAAGAATTACTAATCTTAATATAATTAAGGAAATAGTTGATGTTACTTTTGTAATTATCCACCAATTTCTTAGAATTAAACATTATCTACAGATTTGCATTGAAGCGTTTCTTATGATAGTGATTTTAATCACTGTCAGATTAAATCTATACTGGACCCAACTATTCCACGTCTCGACTGTGCTGGGGTTTTTTTTTTTTTTATTTAAAACAATGTTTTTTGTTTTTAACCCTTGTTTTACGTTAAACAAGTTATTATTATTTTAATATTTCTTTATTTGTTTATAATTCATATAGACAATATTCAATTTACTGTATAATAATATAAATAACTAAATACTAATATATTAATAGAATAATACATAGATATAAAATATTTATTAAATAAGTTGTGTACTTAAAGACATTAAAATGAATCTTTTGACATAATCATTCGAAAATAAAGTGGAATAAATGTTTGAGGCGAGTTTCATAGCTATTAGCTTTTATGTTTAATTGACTTAATAAAAATGAATCATCTATCTCATTACTAAAATATTTAGAAAGAAAGGTGTTGTATGATATATTTCTTCGTATTTTAAAAATTTCTAAATTAAAAATTTTAAAAATATTTTCTTAATTATTATATTATTACATAATATTTTATGATTACAAACCCAAATCAACCACTTTTTCAAGTGAATCATTATATCCTGCGTTGTTGTGATCCCACAAACTATAGATTATATAATAACGATATCTAATTAAAAATAAGCTTTAATTTTTGAGATTATTACCAATTAGTAAACATGAATATTTACATAAATAAATATTGTTTGAAAAAACTAAAAAAACACACTTTTAAAGTACATTGAATTAAAAAGTTAAAAATCATTTTTAAAATATGCTTAAAACAATAATGAACGAAAAATACAGTATTATTGTGAAAAAAAGCGTCTGGCGCTCAATATACGCTAAATATGGCACTAAGCCCCCACGCTTTTTTTCACAATAATACTAGTATTTTTCGTTCATTATTGTTTTAAGTTAATTTGAAAAATTATTTTTAACTTTTTAGTTCGATGTGCTTTAAAAGCGTGTTTTTTTAGTTTTTTTAAACTATATTTATTAACACGCTTATATTAGTTTCACGTGTATGTGTGTTGTTTGTAACTCTCTACACACCACGTGTTATTATTTCGCGATCCCGTCGTCTATGGCCTTGAGACTAGACTGTCATAACTCATTCACCCCACCCTGCTCAACAATCGCCGAGAACACTATTTTCCTATATAAATTTTGGTTTTCGTACTCGTATATGCGGGCGTATCATCAATATTATATATAAAAACAAATTTTTATTGTTTATTATTAAATATAAACATTTAAAAATTCAAATTTTTTTGAGTTTATATACATGTATAATACATAAGGGATTACAAATACAGGTAACTAATTGGTTTTTTATGACAATATGAGCAATCATATAGCCTTTATTATCAATGGTAATAAGACACATTGTTAAGAGTTTATAATCACAATAACTGGCAGTACAGAAATTATATCTATTGATAGTGAAAATTGACAATAATCACTCCTTGACTGTAACAGCGATGTCATAAAAAAGTAAAAAGTGAAAAATAAAAACCCAGCACAGTGGGGTCGTGGTATAGTTGGGTCCAGTATGGATGATAGCTGACAGTGATTAAAATCACTATCATGAAAAACGCTTCGATGCAAATCTGTAGATAGTGTTTAATTTAAAAAAAAAATTTGTCAAAAAAGTAGGTCAAGTGAGAGCTGAGAAAATAAATGATAGTAAAAATAATATTAATATGAATTTCTCTCTAGAGAGGAGACTACGGTAATGGGATCCTTGATATTTATTGAAGTTATTGAATCTAAATAAGATAAAAATCAAATGATTTAAACATTTTTTTCTAACTCAAAAAGAATTAAGAAAAAATTCAGTGTCATAGGCGAGAAAGACCCAAGTGTTACCGTCTCGGAAACCGCACGTCGCATTCATCACTTAATAAAAATGGAAATTTAGCTAGTTCAAATTTTAAAGTTATTTTTCTCGAATTCAAAGAAACAAAAAAATTTAAATATGTTTAACTTTTTATACCATGTCAATTAGATTGATATAATATTTATGAAAATCAGTGTAATCCCCTTATAATAAAATAAAATAATACAAAACCAAGAATTTTAACACAAAAATAGCATATTTTTAAATACGGTAGCTATTTTCACTATGAAGACAAAGTAAAGTCCGAATTTTTTTTTTTATATTAAAGTATATTACATTAGCTTTAATTTAAGATATATATAAAAGTGTCAGTATTTCCGGAACACTTTCAAAAGCTAAGTTGAAAAAGTTAATTTTTTGTGAAAAAGTTGTCATTTTGAATCCCCCCTTGGTCTGGTAAAAGATTTAATTTATAAAAAAAAATATACCAAATAATAGGTGAAAACATCATGCATTTATAAAAAAAATATTATATTGATTTAGTTATTTTTAAAAAAGTTATGACAGTTTTAAGAAAAAAAAATTGAAAATATTTCGAAAATTAGTGTTTTTTAAATTTGTAATTTTTTTGGAGGTTTTCCCCATTTACGGTGAACGAGGGTCAATTTTTGAGGGTGATATCTTCGATTAGATACGTCATTATTAATGATTATTATCATTAATCCGAAGTCAACCAAATTGTAGGATGACTTTGACAAATTTAAAATTTTGGTCATACGTCAAAATTGACAGATGGGTTAAAATTTTGAGTATATTACCTATTTAAATTATTTTATTGGTAATTTTAGTTATAAATATAAAAATTATATTAATCAAAAACGATTAAAAACTGTCCAAAGTCACCCAATTTTACAGTGTCTCAAATCCAACTGATAACGCTTTTAACTTTTGAACCAATTATATTTCATTGAAATTTTTTTTAAATTGTTAGTGCTTCCTCAGATTACATTTAAACTTCGATACGGAGATGTGTGTGTCTATATAGATAATAAGTTCTCACTAGGTCAATGTTGGTGATTTATGCGTCAAAAAACTCGAATTTATTATAATTGAACTTATCATAGAACAATAATTGAAAAATAAAGTCTGAATTTTAGGAATTTATAAAAATGTGTTAAAATTAGATAGCCATCGCAACTTTTAAAATTATAGTAATTTATTATTTTTATGAAATTTCAATACAGCAGAACGCTGTATTAGAACAATGATAATGAGGTTTCTTTCAATAAGCTAGACATGAAAATACAATAAAAAATTTTATGTTATATACTGTACATGTAATTTTTTTTACATGTAATTTCTGGAGTGCTATAACAAATTTTAAGTAATTTGAAAATATCTAACTCCTCTTGAATCAGTGTCTATTACAGGATGGCACATATTTCATTTTTAAATAGCAATAGTCAAAAAACAAGGTGCAAAATTTTCAAACGATGCGAGGAAAAATTTTTTCTAGGGAGCCCCATATTTAATCAATGTTTTGGGCTTCATAAACCAAAATTTGTGATTTACACACAAAAGTATCATGTTTGTCCAAAATAATTTAAGAAAAAAAAATGAAATAATATTAAATCTAATTTTTTAAAATAATTTAACAATAGTTTAACTCCTGCAATAAAATTGTTTGATCAAAGGCAAATTAGAGTTATCATACAGTTTTTTTGTAAATTTTCACTAATACATATCAATGAATAATAATAAATAAATAATAAGTAGATAAAAAAAAATGCATAGCATAATAGTTGTTCAGTTAACATTTCCCATTATAATGTAAGTATTTTTTGTAACAAAATATTAAATATATTTATCAGTCAAATCTCACAAGAACAAAAGGTGAAATAACACAATTAAAAATATTATCATATATAAATAGTTAAAAATAATCTATGGTATAAAATTTATATTAAAATTTTTAATTTCAAATTATCTTATTCTAAGACTAGAAGAATAAAAATTATTTTATGCAAAAAAGATTGAAATATACTTGGAAGCAACTAAGTCAAGTCTACAGGTCGAAGTTGTCGTTCTCCATCAGCTAATAATAAAAGCATAGCACGATATAATAGGTAACAACCAAGTTTACATTTGTCGCTTCCTTTCCATTTAATGATTTTATTATAATAGGTTCCACGCTTCTCATTAGTCAATCTATTTAATCCTATTGCATCTATCATTGCAGCTTCCCGAATATGAGCTTCTTTTGAAGTTAAATGATGAAATGCTTGAACACATACAACACCTTTATTTTCACGCCATAAATTTAAAATAAACTCAATCTAAAAATAAAATAAAAATAATGTATCTTGATAGATAAGATATTATGCCACATCACACCCTTATTGTATTTTTTTGATATATTCAAAAAATTTTAATTTTCTAAAAGGTAAGCTATCTGCAGAATTAAGAAAAATTGTAATCCTCAAGACTAGTGCTGAATTAAAATTAAGATCATTTATTATTAAAATTTTGCGAAATAAATTTCAAGATATCAAACTAATGCTGTTTAAGCAATTCCATTAAAATTATAATTTTAAGAAATTTGATATAATATTATATGTATTCATATGTAATATTATATGCAGATATTTGGTATTTTTGTAGTTATTTGTACCATTAACTGCTCTTTAGTAACAATACAGTATGTATTGTGGTTTTGGATCACAAGGACAATTTATTGGAAAAATAAATTCTAAGTAACAAAAAAATGAACATTTGATGTAAAAATATTACCTTTGGGTTTGGGACTTTGTTATTGCTACCAACGCCTACCCATTCATTAAATGCTTCTCTCATATGATCATTAGGTCTAGCATTTGTTCCTTTTCCTATATAAAAAATTGATCTAATAAAAATTATCAATACATCAATTGAATTTTCAAAACTATCAACTCGGTTAGGTAAATTTTCAGTCACTCGAGGATCTAATAGTAAGTATGTGAAAGATGATCCACTTTTATTACACACTATATCACATTCTAATGAACTCCAGCTCATAATTACAGATTTCCACGAATTTCCAATTTTAAATAATTCCTCTAATTGTTGACTAAAAGATCCACCTGTATTTTAATAAATCAAAATAACACTTTTTTTAATTAATGAAGCATAGAATATCTTAAAGACAGAGAATAAGTCTTGATAAAATTTATAATTTAATAGTAAATTTAAATTTACCAACAGTAGCGTATTTAAAAGGAAGGTTCCTGAGTCAATCCCCTTGAAACCAATTGTTATAACACAGTTTTTATAAAACAACTAAGGTTAATATTTTTAGTTTTCAAATTATATTGAAATAACTTTTTGAAAACTGAAACTATCATTGTGAAATTTTTATTTATAATACTTCAAAGATTTGCCTTGAAGACAATATATTTTTTTTGAAAACTCAATCATTTACTAGGGTACTAGGGGTTAAAATTATATTAACATTTTTTTCTTTTTAATTTTTGATAAAGCTCCAAAAAACTGACCTTTAATAAATTAAATCTAATATATTGTATATCAAGATGAAAAAAACTATTCAACAACTCGATTTATAGTTGTCAGCTAATTAATACAAAAATCATACAATTTTCTGTTAATAACCACAGAATGGTTCATCAATGATAAAATATTCATTTTCTTGAAAATAATTGAACTTTTTTATTTTTGTTATAGAGAAAAAAATTGTTAGGTTCAATAAAATATTTCATAACATATATTTTTTTTTTATCCATTTGAAAATATAAGCCTTTAACTTTATTATTCTTAAATGAGATCCCCTATTTTTATTTTGCTAATATGATTTATAATAATAATAAAATAATAAAAGAAAAATTTCATTCTTAAAACTTTTTTTATCTGGTTAATTTTTCATCTGTTACTACAGCATGTTAGAATTAAGTGATTTTAGACTAATTTCATATTGTTATTATACTGTTTAACTATTTTACAGAAATTTTATGAATAATAGTAAATGAATATCGAAAGATGCACACTTTTTAATCAATGCAGGATTACTATCGTACAATCATTGATTGACTAATGAATACTGTCTCTAAAAATATTCATTGATTACGACCATAATTTATGAGCTATCAAACAGTTTGAGTTATTAAGAAATCCAAATAAATATTACATTTTTAATCTAGATCCAAATTATTAAATAAAACGCGAACCTCATTGAGTGAATAAAAAAAAAGCAACAAATAGAAGTTATCAATTTTTAGTAAAATTTAAAAATTTTTCAATAAATTCTTTTAAATTAACAAAAGTGTAAACTTTGTATTATTAATCACTGTTACGAATTTATTTGTATTGAAATTTTGAGACTTTCCAGATTATTTCTAGTTTTTTATTTCATTTCATTTTCAGAAATTTGTTTTAGCATTTTAAAAATGTCAATTTGCATAAGTAATCATGAAAATTTTTTAATTTGTTACTGCTCTCCTGAAAATTTTCAAAATTTGACACAATTTAAAAAAAAACAAATATAAATAATTATCAAAAATTATTTGTCTCAAAAATTATATACAATAAACTGAATATCATGAGTGTATTTATGGTGATGGTTGAAAAGGCCCTAGTTCCTCTCCAAAAATTAATGACTGTTTTTTTTAAATCTGTCTATAGAACATAAAATGTAAAAAATCAAAGTTGGATCAACTTCACTTTTATGGGCCCTGAAGTGAATATCAAAAATATTCAATTTTCATAACTTGAATGTGTGTATTTTCATAATTATTTATGATAGTTATTTTAAGTATACATTTCCATGTTAAAAAAAATAATAAGCTGTAAAAGGTATTTTTCTTGTGCCACAGTAGAACAGCGTAAAAAAATATGACAATTTTTTGGATGAGTTGTTTTGACATAATATGGTGTTTATAAAAATCAAAGTAATCATTTCTATGTTACTCTTAATATTTAACAAGATACTACAATTGAAATATTTTTTAATTATTCAAAAATTAATCAAATTTGTATAATGTTCATTATTCATTCTATTTTAGCTTCAATGCGAAGCGGAGAAGGTATTAATTTTACTATGATGTGTTTTTTTTTTTTTTTTGTCTGTTGCCACTTTTTCTCAGCTCTCACTGGACCGATTTCTTTCAAAAATACGTCAAAAGATCACAAATTGTATCTAGTTGGAGACATTACCCTTAAAAATTGAAAAAAATTCCTTCGTTCCCCGCAAATGGGGGAAATATGCAAAAAGATTACAAATTTAAAAATCGCTAATTTTCGAAATTTTTTCACTTTTTTTTCTTAAAACTTCCATAACTTTTTGAAAAATCAACAAATCAACATAATTTTTTTTTATACTAAAACCTTAAATATTTCTCTTTCATTTGATATCATTTTTTGAAAATCTAACACTTAACCTGCTCATTGGGGGAGATTTAAAATAGCAACTTTTTTACAAAAACTAACTTTTTCAACTTAATTTTTGAAAATGTTCCGGAAATACTGCGTCCTTTAAACATATATCAAATTAAAGCTTATTTTATGTACTATAAAATGAAAAAAAAAAATTTGTCCCGACACTTTATCTTCTGCATGTAAACGGTTGCCGTAGTTAAAAAANGTCCCGACTCTTTTATCTTCTACATTTAAACTGCTGCCGTAGTTAAAAAAACACTATTTTTTGTTAAAATTTTCGATTTTAAATTTTCAACTTTTCAACTTAAAAATGCTATAACTTTTTGAAAAATGTATATATCAGCACAAATTTTTTTTTTCTTAATGCATTATAAGTACATCTTTCATTTGACATACTTTTTATTAAAATTGGACAATTTCCCCTTATATAAGGGGCGTTCAAAACTTNGACAATTTCCCCTTATATAGGGGGCGTTCAAAACTTAAAATATTGTAAAAAACATAGATCTTTTTCAACTGAACTTTTGAAAATGTTCCGGAAATACTGCGTCCTTTAAACATATATCAAATCAAAGATTATGTTATATACTATCAAATGAAAAAAAAAAATTTGTCCCGACATCTTATCTTCTATGTGCAAATGGCTGTCGAAAATTCTAAAAAAAATGTAATGTTTGCGATAAAAATTACATTTTATCGGGATGTTTTTTGTACTTAAAACTGCCATAACTTTTTCAAAAATGAACAAATAAAAATAATATTTTTTTGTATTGAAACCTTAGATATTTCCCTTTCATTTGATATAATTTTTTTTGAAAATCTAACACTTATTCTGCTCACTGGGGGGATTTAAAATAGTAACTTTTTTACAAAAAATAACTTTTTCAACTTAATTTTTGAAAATGTTCCGGAAATACTGCGTCCTTTAAACATATATCAAATTAAAGCTTATTTTGTGTACTATAAAATAAAAAATAAAAATTTGTCCTGACGACCTTTCTTCTATGCGCAAATGGCTACCATATTCAAAAATATGCTATTTTAACAAATTTTTTTTTTTTAATTAAACACTATCTACAGATTTGCATCGAAGCGTTTCTTATGATAGTGATTTTAATCACTGTCAGATTAAATCTATNTAATCATTGTCAGATATCATCTATACTGGACCCAACTATGCCATGACCCCACTGTGCTGGTTTTTTTTTATATAATAACAGAATTATTATTATCATTTTTTTAATTATTTCTATATAACCTAATAACTAAACATAAATATGTATAAATTTTAATAAACATAAACATTTCTGAATGTACATTGTAATAAAGGAAGATTTTGTCATTATTTTTTTCTCCTATGGCTGAGTTGGACTTATTTATAACCAATGTTTTTGGTTATTTTTTAAATTTTTTTTTAAATTCTAAATATGCCACTGCTGAATATGTCTGTAAAATTATTACTGGTATAAAGTATCATTTTTTTGGAAAAACAAGACAAACTGCTTAGAGCAATGTGGTTATACAAAATAGAAAAAATTAAAAAAAAATATTCTTAAACTTATCCAAAATTATAAAAAAATCATATTCCATATTATAGGCTTTCTATATTCTATCCAAAACACAACCCTGATTATTTTATTTAAATAAATGTTTTTGAAAATTGAGTATTAGGTAATATTATTTAAAAAATAAATCTTAATCTTAAAGATGAATCAAAACTTATTTTATTTTATAATATTTACACAAAAAATTTTTACCTGAAAAATAATTAATATTAGGAGTTGGGTATTGATTACAGTGAACTTGATCACTTAGTAATCGCTTGAGACGTCTTAAATACAAACGTTTTGTGCCTGGTAATATAGGGCCTGGTATAATACCATGACTCCTTAGATTTTGGCGGACATCATCAGTATCACAATCATCCGTTATCTCCGTTAAGCTACTACTTTTAACTAAAAATTAATATTAATAAACATTTTATTTGAATATATTTTATTAAACAATTAATTTAGAACACAAAAAAAATAGAAAAATTAGGAGATAAAATTAATTTAAAAATCGATAATTTTTAAATGGTGAGTACACGAGAATAATATATTAAGTCATGTTTTGAAACTTTTTAGTAGAGCAATTTACAGTATGATCACTAACAAAGCAACTTATGGTATAAATACAAATGACAATCAGTTGAATGTGAATTCATTATACCAAGCAAATATTAAAGATATTTATATTCTACTCATTTTTATGTATATAACTCATTTTTAACATTTTGTGACTTAATGTCTTATTCCTGCATACTCATCAAAGGATATCAATAAATCAGTTGTTTAGAACTATACAGTAAGTACTTGTTAAATTATCATCAAACATTAAATGTATCAATACAAAAACACATAATATTGTTATAATTTAAAGTAAAATTTAAAAAAAATTGTGAATTTTACAGTAAAACATTTTTAGAATTATATAAGACTGTTATTATCTCAATTTATACATTTTGGTAGATTATAATCAGCCCCCCCAATTAATAAGACACAAATGAATATTAATAAAATATAAATAAACTTTACTAGATGATGTGGTGGAGTTGATAATTCTAGCCTCACTTGTATTCACTTCTACTAAAATATTTGAAAGGAATCTAAAAAAATAAAATATGACCAACTATAAATTTTGTTTACAATATAATAAAAATAAATTAAAGCAAAACATAGTAAATAATAGAAATTTAGATATTTTATCATAAAAATAGGAAACATAAATTATATCATCAATTAAAGAATAATTTATGTGAAATAGTTTGCTATAATAGTACGATAGTTATCATGATTGAATAGTATTAATTAGCAAAATTTGTAATTCATATTTACTTTGAATTAGTGTGGTCACTGATATTAAAATTAGGAAAAGCGTTACAAATGGCTTCTATTGATTTACTGCTACTGGCTTCAGAATTCTCTAAGCTATTTTTCTCGGGGCATGTAAAATACTCATTGTCACTGTCACTGTCAATAGCTTGATTTGTTAAGTTTGATATGTCAGTCATTATGCTATCATTGTCAATAAAATTTAGGTCATTTTGTAAATCAAAGTTTTCATTAACCATACCATAATACGATAAATTTGTTTTAGTATCACTAACTGAATTCATTAATGGAAAACTTATACTATCTAGGAGGCAATCATTATCTATATTTATATTAAATGAAGAAGATCTACCAATTAAATTATCTTTATGATAAATTTTAGAAAGTTCAATTAAGTTTTTTTTATTAACATTTGTATTTAATAAATCTTCTTGAGATAAATTAATTGACTTTGTTGAAAATAATGAAACATTTCTGATGCAAGAATCTTTTAAACACTTTTCATAATCATGATTAATATTTATTTTGTCAATTATACTATTACTACTATCCAATGAACTTTCACTTCCATTGTAACCACTTTGGGTAGATAAATTATAGTAATTAAAAATTTCATGTTTTTTTAGTTGTACTTTAGGAAATTTATTTTGTTCAAAATAATGTAATTCTTGCCCAAAATAGTTTTCTCTTCTCCTTGTATTGTTACCTGTAAAATTGACTAGCTTAATAAATTTATATTTAAAAATTATACAAAACTACATACAATTGATTTAATGAATAATGTTTAAATTTTATAATATATTATAATTTAAATGATTTTTAAAAACATACATTTTAGAATTTTTATTAAATTAAAAATTATGAAAGATGACAAAATTTCTCAGGACTACCAAACTATTTGACTTAATATAATATCAGTATAACTTATGTGATAGTGACCAACTGTTATTCACTCTCATTGTTAACCTATTCTAATTATTTAAATAGCTATTTTATGGTAATATACATGTAATTATTGCTAATGGCCTTTGCTGCTAGGGTCATTATTTTAGTTAAAAAAAAAAAAAAAAATTAAAAATTAATTATTTCATGTAATAAAAAAATATTTCACTACAAAAATATGAATTTCAGCATCAGTATAATTGTTTAAACTAAATTTCATAAAGCATACATACCCATTTTATATTGAACATTTTCATTTTGAGAACGTAATTCAGCAAGAGATTCCCAAGCATTAAATTTAATAGCATAATCAAAAGGTGTAAATCCTTCATCATCTTTTACCCGAAGGTCAACTAAAATATAAGGATTATCAAGTATTACACGCACTACATGCCATCGATTCCATGCAATGGCTACATGTAAGACAGTCCGACCACCATCACATGTTTTGTTTGGGTCACCACCACAATGTAAAATGAGTGTAGCAGCAATTTTTCCAAAAGCTATATTTTCATGACCCGCTGCTATATGAAATGGTGTCATACACATTTCTGGTACAAGTACATTAGGATCAGCTTTATCATGGTTTAGTAATATGTCAACTAGCCTGAAATTAAATTTTTTTAATTATTAGAATAGTAAAACTTATTACAAATTTTTATATACTAAAGTATCTATTTCAAAAATTATTATGACTAAAGACAGATGATAGCAGATGGAGTTTCCTTATTTCTTTTAACTGTTGTAAATTCATTGTAAAAGTCTATATGGTCAGGGTAGAAAAATTCTTTAAATAATGTTTAAAACAAGTCAAATTTGATTAATTATTTACTATTTATTAATAATATAATAACTATACTGTACGCTAATAATTCTTGTAAGGAATACTCTATATCAAAATATCAAGAGTGGTCGTTGCTTTCATTGCTTGTTCAACTGACGTTTGTCTTTACTTATTGAACATTCTGTATATATTATGTAAGTTTATTGTTAGTTGTGCTATAAAGAGGAAACTTATCTAGTTGTTACCCAAAATAGAAAAACTAAATAAAAGCAATAGCATATTGAATTGTATGTCATTGTTAATTTTAATCGAGTGATGAATGCAGCCCAAGAGATATTTCTTAGGCGACTCACTGAAAATGTCAACAAAATAAAATCTTGGGATGGTGCTAAAATAAATGAAGGCGATCATGTACAAGCGGATGGTCACTCACATACCAGGACTGCCCAGAAATTTGGGAAGAGGAAGGCTGAAGAATCCTCCGTGCCATTATGAAAAGGAAGCAAGGCACAAGTGAGAAATAAATGGACTCACTATACTCCCTACTCAAAAGGGAAAGGAGGATATGAGCCATGTAAAGGTAAGGGACCTGGGAAACTGTCATTCTCAGTAAAGTTTGAAACTAAAGAGCTCCTATAGACCGGAAGAGAAACGTGAAATACACACCTAGGGAACGATCACCGCCTAAGAATGCAGGTGGTGAATCACCCATAGGAGAGGTTGTGTTATAAATGAAATTTGTATCACACCCTGATTAGCATATCTTTTGAAATGTTAGAATTAATTTTTCTGATTGTGTGACAAAATAATACAATTCATACAATTAATTTATATCACAGTAGAGGGGCCATTAGAATATTGCTAAAGATAGCGCTAATAGTTATCAATATGCTAATAGCACTACTTAATTATTGAAATAAAGAAAAATTATAACTTATCTTTGGTATGGATCCAAATGCTCACTGTACTATATGGGGAAGCAGTAACATCAACCAAAAAGATGAGGCACTAATCTACAGTTTAGATTAAAATTGGAACAAAGCATTGAAAATATCATAACTGACTTTCAGAAATACATTGTTTTGGCATACAAAAAAACTGTCCTTTGATAAAAAGGAAAGGTATAGGAAAGAGGATTAAGCTTGGTAAAACGCTAATTTGTCAAATTTAAGAAAGGCGTCTCATAAACTCATAATAAAGCAATGAAATCAGGTTTGGAACAACATTGGGATTCCTATAAGGACTCTCAAAGATAATACAAATCTGCATTGAAAAAGTGCAAAAGAGATAGCTGGAAAAAGTTCTGTGGGGAATTACAATTACTCACAAATACTAGTTAATTTATTATATATTTGAGAACATCAGTATATTCTACACATTATTATGAATAAAACATTAACTTATTTATACTAATATATGAGATAAAAAGTGCTGCTTCTCAACCAAAGATATTTTTATTATATATTGTTTGTCTATATAAATAAAACACATTATAAAGAAGTAAACTTCTCCATAGACTATTACCGTATATCGCCATCACCAGCCATTGCTGTGCATAATGCGCGTGCTAATTTTTGTTTATGGAAGTTATCCATATTTTTGTTAGCATGGTTGTAAGCCATTGTTTATTAAATAATAACAACAAAAATGCGTCAATAAACTTAATTTTGTAGCAATTACATCACTAAAAATATATTCTATAGCATAATATTAAATATGTTATTTAAAAAAAGTAATAACTTAAAGAATAAAGTCAAATTTAAAAAATATAGATAACGTTTAATTTTGAATTTGAAATATTAGTTATTATGCAATCATGTAGATAACTCAGATAACTATTGTTAAAAGCAATAGAAAACTGACATCTAGTGAATAAAACAGAAAGCTTTTGATAGCTCTGTGTACAATCAGTTTTTCTTTTTTTTTTTTTTTTGATTTTGATAATGATATTTTCTAGAGATGGGATTTTCGACTCAGTGATATGAATCAGTTCATTCAAATGATTTGATCCAGCAAGTTCTACTCCCAACTCTCAAATCGTCGAATCTTTAAAGGCGCAATTATGACTCGTGAGTTGTAGAAGTTTGTGAAACGCGAATTACAACTCGCAACTCACAAGCAGACCTGTCGATAGGGGAAGAAGAGTAGGATTCCTCCCGGGTCCGAACTTTTTTAGGGGCCCCATAATCTAGGGACTGTTATTAATTATATAATTTGAAAAATATTTTTTGCTTATTTACAAACTTAGACTGACGGTATACTCAATGATATAATAATATGTATATATTCGATCTATCCGTTTCCATTATCATTGCTTTCTAAAACTTTGCCAAATGGTGAAAAAGTAAAACGCAATTGGTTATTTGGAGTCGCTTTAAAAATGCTTTTTATTGTTTTCCTTGCCGCTTGTTCAAAACGAGCACATTAAATTGTTCCTATCTCAGTAACTCTGATGGATACTCAAAAAATAAAATTAGGAGAAAATTATATAAAAGATTACCATCACATGAAACCAATAAAGATCACATTCAATGTTTTATGAAGTGGCGTGAAATAGAAACACGAACAAAAAATGAAAGTTCGATTGACAAGCTAGTATGCAAACATATTGCAGACGAATCCCAAAAATGAAGAAACATTTTGACACGTATTTTGGACACAATTTTATTTATATTGGCTTTAAGAGGAGAAAGTCATATAGTGGAAAACCAAATAATGTAAACTTTTTCGGGATTTTAGAACTGATAAGCCACTATGATCCTATTTGACGACAGCATTTAGAAATAGTAAAAAAGACTCAACAACTTGGAGTTGTCCAAAAATGTTATTATGTTTTCAGCAGCAGTCCACAACGTTGGGAAATTTAAAAAAAAAATATAACAGGTTTACTTCACAGTCTATCAAATACAAAATGGTCAGCTAGAATAGATGCTGTAAAACCATTCATAAATCATCTCCCAGAACTAAAAAACGCACTAGAAGACGTAAAACAACTTAATTTAACTGCAGAAACTCATAGATATCGAAGGTATAAAATACGTCAATAATTTTTATGGCATCTATATGGTTTAAAGTTCTCAGTGCAATAAATGAAAGAAATATTGTTCTTCAAGCGAGAAAATCTACGATTGATGTTGAAGTAACAAATCTGGAGAGTTTAGTAGTAGAGTTGCAGCTGATAAGAGATAATTGGAATACTATTTAACAAGAATGTAAAATAGTTGCCAGTGGATTAATTAATACTTCATCTAAGGTGCAAGTGAGTCGGAAAATAAAACGCGTGAAGGTATTTTCAAAAAACTGTAGTAATACAAAAATAAGCAAAAACTGATATTAGGGGATTTAATTGACCAAAGTTGGATATTTGGGGATTTGGTCAATTCAGGAGCAACGAGGTTCTATCGGGGTTGTAGAGTTCGAGGGTTTAGAACAGTAAAGACAAGTAGATATAAAAAGATATGTATTAAGTTCCTCTCATAGAGGTATTAAACGCTGAGGTATTCTTTTAGTGGCCGGGGACTTGGCCTCCTATCTGACACGCAGTCGAAGCGTGATGTTAACTGGTATGTGCTTTAGTGAAAATACTGAGGCGTTCATGAAGTGGCGGAGGCCTCCTCTCAGACACCCAGTCGAAGTATATGACCAAACACTAACTAGTTATTAATAATTAAATTAAATGATGTTTAAAAAATCTATTGCTTTATTATACTTACTTCTTTTATATATCTTACGTTCAGATTTATACTGTTCCTTTTTAATAAATAAATAAAGTATTGACGCAAAAATAATTGTACTTAATATCGCTTTAAAATTTACCGACAACAACACGGGGTCGCGGCTAGTTTGCTCAAAATAAATCAGATAGAAGAATTCTGAATTCTTTATTGAATTCAGATCTTCAAAAAGGAGAGAGAATGAGCCGCTCGGTGGCACGCTCGCTCACTGATGTACAAGCAGAACTAAGCCTTTTTAACACGCTTATATTAGTTTCACATGTATGTTGTATGTTGTTTGTATGTTGTAAGTTTGTAACTCCACGCGGCACGTATTATTATGTCGCGTATGCCGTCGTCTATGACCTTGAGACTAGACCGTCGTAACGCATTCACCCCACCACACTCACCAGTCGGCGAAAACACTATTTTTTTCTGTATAATTTTGAGTAAACGCCGCGGTGCAAAGTCCAGCAAGTGCCGCACGGCCGACGACGTACCGCCGCTAATGATACCGTAGTATTCTTCCTGTTGTCAAAGTGGCAACGTCAATAAACCGATCTCCACTCGCGCACCGTCGCCATCAACGCTGCTAACCTTTTGACGCCCGAGGATCACGCCGGACATCGCGTCGTCGACGCCAACGAAAGTGCCACGATATTATGCGAAGATTATATATTCTTACCATCGCCGCTAATATTAATATATATATACATATATATATATATT